AATAATAATTTTATTGATAATTATCATGAGGAGTCCTTAACTAGGATGTAGTTAGGCAATAAATATTCATGATTGTGTAAATTTATTACCATAATTGCAGGTGAGTCACGTAAATTTATGTTTTTATAAAACAAGTAACCCCCCACCCCCACCAGACCAATTTCCTAGGGGAAACACTGCATGATGTAATTACATGGGTGAAAAATGAGTACTGTGTTAATACCCTGCTGCCACAAAACAATTGCGTTKCACAGCTTGCATGTGCAAAGGTGCTTGGTACTCTGCCTTAGTGGGTTTACAACTAGGCTGAATTAGGACTTTACCAGCACTTACAAAAATCATCAGATTGAAAAAGATAAACATAAATTTAAAAATATTTGATCCAGTTTAAGTTCTGAAAACAATCATCATCCTCATCACTGTTTGCAGCATGAACACAACTAATGCACATTATCCAGATTTTTCTGTTTTATTTTAATAAGTTGTAAACCACGTGTCATTACTAAAGGCCCTGTCACACTAGACAACTTATGCCAACTTATGAAGCATTCTTATGTCTAAAGTTCTAAAAAAAGTTCTATATTTGATCAATTTGTTAGAATTACATWATTGACATGCCAAAGAGAAGCTTCCTGTTGATTTTTTTCAATTCCATTTTCAACGTAGACATCTTTAAAATGTTCATAAGTTGGCATAAGTTTGTCTAGTGTGACAGGGCCTTTAGTTGTATTTTTTTATCATTGACCAGTTATTGAAAAGAAATAGTCATTGGGGCACTAACTTTAAGTTGGCTTTATGTTATCTGCTGCTGGTTTTTGCTCGTGCAGTTTTCAATTTGCTGTTGGGTATTTTAGGATAAAACTTCATTGTTTTGTTTAAACTGTTGTCTTTGTTCTGGGAGCAGTGTTTCAGCTCTTCAACAGCACGAAGTAGCTCATAAAACACAAAAACATCCAATGTTTTGCTTCTCACTAAATAAATGTAATTAATGTATTGATTTGTGTCCGCTGCAGGTCGCAGTGTACGGTTTGCAGATATGCCATCAGACGCTTCTCATGATGGGAAAAGAAAGAAAACAAGGGTGGTGAAGAAAGCCAAAGCCATCACACCCCTGCAGGCCATGATGTTACGGATGGCAGGTACGGTCATGTGACTGCAGTTACTGCACCRTATGTCCCAGGCTGTTACTGATGATGGGGTATGTAATCTTCAGGTCAGTCAGTTCCTGATGAAGAGGAAGAAGAGGTAGAGGAAGAGTGCACAGATGAGTCAGACGTCTCAGACTCTGAGGACAGGGGCCCACCAGGGGACAGTCAGTCCCAAGTGATGGTCACTCAGCACATGCCCCCTCCTGCTGGGGCTGTGGGACAGCAAGGACCTCCACCTTTGCAAGGACCACCAATGACTGGGCCTCCTCCACTGGGGCCACCGCCAGCTCCTCCTATGAGACCTCCTGGTCCTCCCTCTGGTCCTCCTCCTGGCCCCCCACCAGGTTAGTTGTTAGAAGAAATTTAAAGAGCTGATGACACRATATTGACCTTTTCTGCTATTTTTCATAAACCAAAAGTTCCCTCCCGAAGATCTAGTTAATAATTACAAGCGCGTCTGTATAACATCCTTTTTTTTTCTTCAAAAAACAAGGCAAATTTAGGAGAACTGTAGCRCCTCTTTGAGTCTGAGGAAGAAAGCTGAAGTGATGTCGCCGTTTGAATAGTCTCCCAGCTTTGTTGTTGAAAGCTAGCGGTTTTGTAGCAAACATTTCTTGGTTTTTTCGGATTTTTGACGGTTGTAAATAGCTGAAATGCCCTCGCGTTGTATCGCAGGATTTTGTTCAAACACCCATAAGGATGGTGTTATTTTTTTAAGTTTCCTAAGGGTTCGGAGCTTGTCTGAAGTGTGTGTGAATAGGTCAGACTTGTGTGAAGTAGAGCCTACCGTTGCATCTGTTCTGTGCTCTGAACATTTTGAGTTGGACTCTTCTTTTTTCTCCACTTTTAAGAGTCGCTTGGTTACGTGTGCTGCTGCCGCCGACGRGAGCAGGCTGTCATTTCTATCTTCTCCTCTCTGTCAACTCTCTCCAGTTTAATTTAAAAGTGCCAATCATCAGAAATTGTCCAAGATTATAACCTTCAGGGTGGATATAGCTCGCTCACACCGATGACCTATCCACGTCATCATTTACCCAGAATGCTTTGTGTGTAAATAAAATGGCTCCGTCCGTGTAATATATTTTTWAACTTTTAGTTTAAAAATTATAAAAACTAAACAGCCTACAGTATTTTTACAGTCTCTATTTTACAGTTAAATATATATGTTTATCAAATAAAGTCTAATGTTACAACTAATCATGGATCCCTTTTAAGACAATTTTTGATATGTGATTTTCATTCTCATTAACCTAAATATTAATGAAATGAGCCCCAATGGGTTGTGAAGGTGTTGTGTCAGTATCTTATATGTTATAGTATATTATATTGCTATTAATTTATTAGAAAAATTGATTTAATTAAATTACATATGAACAAGTTGTTGTAATATAAATGCAATTTATGCAAATTTCTATTAAACCTAAATTGAAAAAAAAATAGCAGTATATAATATTTTAAATATCTTCTTTATGTGAGCAGAGAAGAAGATGTTGGGTAGTATCCTCCAAAACCTTCACAGTTAAATTCTAAAGTACTGCTACAAATGTACCAGGGTATCCGCGGGGTTGTAAAAAGTATTAAAAGGTAGTAAATCAAATAATCAAAAATTAAAGCCAGTAAAAAGTATTAAAAGGTAATAAACGCCATCTGACAAGGTATTAATTTTTAAACAACTAGCACACTTTGGTCATGCTGGAATTTGATGCGCTGTTGCATGGAAAACAGATTTAACAAACGTTTCTCTGGCCCAATCTGAGACGCAGCTTTAACTTTAGACAGGCCTATTAGCCAATCAGAAATAGTGTGGGGGCGGGACTTAAGTGTTTCTAGTAGCAGAAGTTGGAGGGGTGTTTTAAATAAAAATATTTTTGCCAGGATGAGTCTGAAAAAGAATAGGTGACGATATCAAAGCTGGAAGATTGTTAAAAGTCAGAAAAGATAAACCAGCAGAAGGATTACAGACTCCTCCACCACCTGAGAGGARCMGTGTGTCRGTGGATGCTAGCTTTAGCTAAAGCTAGCTGGAGCAGAGCTGGGGAGAAGAGAGAAGCAGACAGGTGAGGAGATTAAAGTGATGACTTTTATAAGAATGACCCGGGAGATAACATCAATCAACAGGTGTGTGTTTACTGGAACAAACTGACACAAAACAAGTATATTTGTTTGAACAAAACAAAAATAAATTAAAGCTGTGTCTCAGATTTCTTTCATTGTTTTTCCCCAAAACTCTCAGGGAGGGCATTCTCTATGAAGAAGTCAGTTTATGTGTTTGTAGATAAATATGAGCTAATTTAAGTCCTACACTGTATTAAAGGGTTTTGGGAATTTGAGCTAAATTGTTTATTTGGGATAAGACTTTWTGTAAATTAATGCAGGATCACATGAAACATAATTTACAGTTCTCACGTAGATTCTGTTGATTTGGTTTGTTTAGTAAAGTTTTATTATTTTCGATCATAGTTTTTAATTGAAAGTATTTTTAGCTACAAGAAAGTTTATAAATTGTTTTTTTTTTTTTTTGCAGCTTTGATCAATTTAAAAGGTGGTATTTGAAAGCTATTGCAGGTAACGCTCTGCTCAGTATGAAAATTGAAAACTGATGTTTTTAAAGAAGTTGATTGATGAATCCTTTACAGTCGTTCTTTAGTATGCTGGTATTGTCAATGTATATGCAGATAAAAGATGGTGATTGTGAGGGTAAAACTGTGTGTGTGGTGGTGGTGGGATTAGGGTTGGGCATAATCTTATCGTCTGCAATTAATCGTCAGAAAAACATTAATCGATGAATTTTTGGCACTTGACAATTAATACGATTAATGCCACCAGGCAGACTAACCGCTTGGTGCTCCTCTCTGATTCAAATATGACCAACATTAAAGAAATTTGTGTAATTTATTTATCCATCAACACAATTTAAAGTTTGATGTATAGCCTGAAGTCTATAATTTTGACACAATTTGGAACAGATTTCTACGAAGAGCCAATTTTCTCCCTATAAACTGGTCATGTGACTAGGATTTAAGGGTGTGCAGGGACTCTGAGGGATTAATCATCAAATTAATCGTTATCGGCTAAATACCACAATTAATCGTGATTAATTTTTTTTTGCCAATATTGCCCAACCCTAGGTGGGATGATAACACAGCTGGACCGTTCATTCTCATGTTCAACAAAAGTTTTAATACGTTTAAAAAACAGATGGACACACACACAGATGTTATTTAGAGGATGGTTGTGCGACATCAGGGTATTTTGGTTCTGAGTTCCTGGGACATGCGAGAGCAGACGATCTGTTGCTGATAACACTGCTCTTCCTACACATAATGAAAACACTTGACTTGAATTTAGGGTTAAATAACAAATAATTGTATATAGATCAGTGTTTCATTAAGGCAAAGAAATAACTGTGTATCCAGTAACTTTAATAATGGGTTCAAGCAGTTGCCTGTACAGTTTCAACTTGAAGTCGTGTTGGTATTAAAAAGGTATTAAAAGGTATTAAATTTAACTTCAGAATTTCTGTATATACCCTGTGTACTAGAAACAATGGTTTTATTAACTTCAGATACATTACATTTGTAAACAACTAGTTGTAGCTAATAAAGTTCAAGTTCAAGATCTTTATTACCACCAAGGGGCAATTTGTTGTACAGCCAATAGWCATAAAAACAACTAAACAAAAACATTCATACACAAAAATCACAGACGTTCATTAAACATTTAACTGCTGCTGGGATAAATGAATTTTTAAATCTATTTGTCCTACATTTGGTCAACTGGTATCTGCGTCCAGATGGGAGCAGCCTGAACTCACCATGGAGTGGTGACCTGACCTTGTGTAGGTCAGTGAGATTTTGCAGGTCAATTCCAGCAATGCTGCTGCACATCCTGACAATCCCCAAGAGTTTGTTTTTGTTCTTACAGATTAAAATGCCATACCAACAGATAAAAGTAAAGGTTAAAAGAGACTCAATAAAACACAAATAAAACATTCTCATTAAAGTAGAATCGACAATAAAACCACAGAGCTTCCAATAAAAATACATCCTCTGATGGGCCTTCTTACAAAGTGAGTTAACGTGGGCATCAAAGTTCAGTTTGTCATCCAAAACAGTTCCAAGGTGTTAACCACAACCTCAACAGCTTCACCATTAATAACCACAGGAGTGGCAACCAAAAAGTCTTTTCTAAAATCAATGACAATCTCCTTAGTCTTTGAAACGTTTAACTGTAAAAAAAGRAGATTGGCACCATTCAGTGAAGTCTCTGACCACCGGCCCATGGTCATGGTCATCACTGGTGAGAAGAGACAGGATGACAGAATCATCAGCAAACTTTAAAATGTGACGATGTGGATACCGGCTGCTAGAGCTGGGCGATATGATCAAAATTTTATATCATGGTATTTTCAACATTTTCACTGGTTTCACGGTATTTGATGGTATTTTTCTTTTCATCACAGCTCAACTGATAATAAAATGTACAAACCCTGCTTATTGACTTTTTTTTCTTTTACTGTACCTCTGTCTGTGACACTGTTTCCCTCCTCTGTGTCTGTTCTTCTCTGACTGGTGGTTGGAGACAGTAGTTATGCATTTTGGTCCAGTCGTGAAGGAGTGGGGTTAAGAAAAGATTATGATCGGGTTTATTGTTTTATGTTATTTATTAAAGCTTATCAGCACGACTCACCTTGCACACCAGTCAATTCCAACTCCACTACGAACTACTTCCTGCAGGCTTTTCACAATAGAACCATGTTAAGTTTCCATCAGCATAACGTCTCCATATTAACTAACCGTGTTAAATCTAACTGTGCACGTCACTGAAGAGGTGTTTACTACATTCAGCGACAGCGAAAATGGGATGTTTTTTAAACGTCAGTCAAAATAAGCAGCGGAATCGCCACCTGCGGCTGCAACTAGCTGCTCCAAACATTAGCCTGCTAACGCACATAGCGGTGCAGCAAGGAAAAATGTCCCCCGGGAAACAACAGTTCACTGGCGGCCGCGACGAAACATTCCGTTATTTAAACCAGAATGTCCGGTATTCAAAAAATTCATATCATAACAAAAATAAAAACCGGTATTCGGTACAAAACGGTATACAGCCCAGCACTACCGGCTGCGACAGTCATTTGTATACAAAATAAATAAAAGAGGTGAAAGAACGCAGCCTTGAGGGGAGCCTGTGGAGGACAGAAGGACATTAGAGAGAACCCCATTGACCCTCGCACGCTGAGGTCGAGCAGTTAAAAAGTCCACAAGCCAACACAGAAGACCTGGATCCAGACCATAAGAGCGTTTTAATTTCTCTGCTAAAATGTGGGGTTGGATACAGTTAAAAGCAGAAGAAAAATCTATAAAAAGCAGTCTTGCAAAAGTTTTTGTGCCTTCTAWATGTTTTAAAATCATATTTAAAAGAGTTATTGTTGCATCCTCCACCACTCTGCATGCCCGATATGCAAACTGAAGTGGGTCCAAATGTTTCTTAACTTCAGCCAAAAGCACTTCTCTAACAACTTTTTCAAATGACTTCATTACAAGGGAAGTGAGGGCAACAGGCCTGAAGTCATTCAGAGACTGAGCAGTTTTAGTCTTTGGAACTGGAACAAWAGCAGAGTGTTTCCAAAGCTGGGTGAGCTTACATGTTTGGGGAGACATATTAAAAAGAAAGCAAAATATATCTGCCAGTTGCAGGGCACATACAGGTGAACAGGGCATACCAGTCTGTGTTGCCCAGCTGAGAGTCTTCTCTGCTGCGTCCTGCCTCTTCCCCTCCTGCTCTKCAGGAGGTCCACTCGGCCAGCTCGAACTGGTAAACCCCCCTCCCCCTCCTCCCACCCACCACCTCAGCACCAGTACCTTCTTCTGAGCCGGAACAGGCTGACAATTCCACCACAGTTCAACCGCTTCCACCATGAGTGTACAGCTGTTATTGATATTAGCTATGCGCTTAGCGTTCCAGCGCTGACGTCACAACATGGCGTCTCTGTTTAATTCAGCTCCTCAGCGGAGCTGTTTAAAACGTTGGATATTTACACAAAAATAAGCCTATTTGACATAACCTCACAGAACCATCTATTTTAACATGTACAATTTTAATCCAAAAAWTACATAAAATTAAACCGTGTCATCAGCTCTTTAAGGCTTCATCTCTTAAACTGAATATCTAAACCTGAAGATGTCTATCGTTTAGACCTGATTTYCTCTTGTCTTTAAGGTGCTCCTCCATTTTTGAGGCCCCCTGGGATGCCTGGAGGACTCAGGGGCCCTATGCCTCGTCTTCTGCCCCCTGGTCCTCCACCAGGTCGACCTCCTGGTCCCCCACCCGGCCCCCCTCCTGGTCTCCCACCAGGCCCTCCACCACGCGGACCCCCTCCCAGACTACCACCTCCAGCTCCACCAGGTAGGGATATAGTTCCAGAGTACACAACTAAATCTGACTGCTGATCAACAAGGCTGACAAATAAACTTACTTGTATTTTAAACAAAATAATGTTTAATCGAAATCTTGTTTATATTTTCTGAATGTACCTTTTGTGACTCGTTTCAGGAATCCCACCTCCTCCCCCAAGAGCAGGAGGCCCCCCTCGTCCTCTTGCGCCACCACTCTCCATGTTTCCTCCCCCTCTCAACTCCAATGTGCTGAGTGCACCTCCCAACATTGTTCAGAGACAAAAGGCACTCGGGTCAGGCCAGGATGGTTCACAGACCAGCATGCCACCCCCTGCCATGCCCATGCGGCCAGGGGTCATGCAGATGCCCCCCCCACCTGGGACAGCTGCTGCAGGTGGAAATCCCGGCAGCCACCACGCAGCCACCATCGAAAAACGCGCCAACATCACTTCCGTCGCAGCGGGAGGCAGCCTGGCTGCAGGCGCCGGCTCTGCAGGGGCCACCATCTCTGCCAAGCCTCAGATTATCAACCCCAAGGCAGAGGTCACCCGCTTTGTGCCCACAGCACTGAGGGTGCGTAGGGACAAGAGTGGAGCGACACCAGGGGCTGCGCCAGGGCCTCTGGAGAAAGGAGGGGGCGGTGCTGGAGGAAGGCGGGGGGATGAAGGTGCAGGAGGAGCCCACTGGCAGAAACAGCCAACAGCAGCTTCAATGGGACAGGTCAACCCATCCCAAATGGGTGCTGTGTCTCAGCCCAGCATGAAGACTAAAGACCAGGTTTATGAAGCCTTTATGAGGGAGATGGAGGGACTCCTCTGAAACTCAGTGGGGGTGTTGGTATTGTTCTACACAGCGTTTTATTTTCTTTGGATTTTATGTGTGCAGAGTAGAAGTAGCTGTGTTGAGATCAGTCAGCAAGATTACTTTCTATGTGGGTAAAACAGACTGTGACATCCTCAGCATGGTAACTTTCACCACAATTCATTAGATCATAAATTTGATTTGATCGTAAATTCATTGGATTGAACCATTGTTTTATTTTTCTCAAGACAATTGAACACTATGCTTAAAAGTACATTTATCAATGGTATGATTTTTATTTTTGGAACTTAGTTTTTTTTGTGTGTGTTTCCAACCAGTCCAGTGTCTTTTGGCCATAAAAAAGCAGTTTTTGTATTAGTTTTTATTTTAGTGGTTATTATCTAAATAAAGTAACAATGACAAAACCTAAGTCTGAAACTGAACATCAGTTAAATAAATATTTTAAAACAAATTTCTTTGTCTTTGTTTTAATTAGCAACACTTAAAAAATAAACCAAAATATGTTTGAACTCTATATTTCTGTTTTCCAACTTGCACTGGCTTGCTGTGCTGGACATTTCAAGAATACTTAGCGAACCACATTTCCCATCATCCCTTGCGTAACACTTTCGCGCATGCGCACCTCGGAGCTGACGGCACGTTGGGATAAGCATGGCGGACGACAGCCGGGAGAGCGTGAAGGAAAACACATCTGTAAATGTCGAAGGTTCGAGTAGTGATGAAGATGATGAAGTGGTTAATAACGAAGAACGTGAGGAGATGACAAAGACCTTCAAAGACTTGGTAATTTTGACTCGGAGAAGATTTGTTTCTACACGTAGCAACAAACGCTTGTTTTCCCCCAGTTAGCCAAATCAAGCTAATATAAACAGTGAAACATGACTATTTCTAGAATATTTGAAGAGTGGATAGTTACATCATTTATGTATYACAACTTATATCTCCATGTTTATAATGCGTGAACTTGGTGTTTCAGGGTGTTACTGAGGTTCTCTGTGAGGCTTGTGATCACCTGGGATGGAAAAGTCCAACAAAGATTCAGGTGGAGGCTATTCCAGTGGCGTTGGAAGGTAAAGCTTCACACTTAGACCTTCTTTACATTAAAATGTTTTCAGTGCCATTCAAGCAGCCTATGTGCCTACTTCAGAGTAATACACAGCCTTTAATAGAAATGTCACCCTACTACATACTGCATTATGTAACTACACTGTCTGGCTGTATTTACAATATTATAATGAATGACATTTGACCAAAACATCTACAACTCCATATTTTCTCAACACAAAGTGATTGTAGTCTAAAGTGGGATGTGGATAAATTTTTAATCYTACAACAATRTTAAATTTGAYAACAGATTCCAAAAGAACATTTCAAACCATACAAAATAACACCAAAGTCGTGATTTTTCTCAAGTATGAGGGAATGTCCTGATGCATCTCAGTAATCCAGGTAAAAAATCAAAAGGAAAAAAATCAAAAGGAAAAAAATTGTATAGGTCCTCTGGACGGGTTCTTCTTTAATGAAACGTTTCGTATGAGGGAAGTTATTGATGTTTGTTTAGGTGAAATCAGCTCATGTTTTTTTGCTGCAATTCACAGCAGAACCAATGTGTGACCATTTCACCTTCTTGTTTTCTATTTTTGTTCATAGTGTTCAAGATATCGCTATGAAATTTTAGGAAAAGATTCACATTCTGGTTTTTGTAGGAAGCATCTTGTATCCTAAAAAACTAATAAAACTTAATAATAGCCAATGCAGGGCGGCGGTGAGCGGACGGCGATCCATCAAAATTAGAACAGATCCTATTTTTGCTGGACGACGGAGCAGCGCCGGAGTCAATTTTTAAAGATTACGTCGCCCCAACAGGAAAAGAAACGAGCACAACATCTGTATTTTCAAAATAAGACACTATTCGGTTGAATAATTTGTCGGAATAATGTCGAAATTGCGGCTATATTAATAAATATAGGGATATATTTCTACGTAAATGCTGTCAGAATGTATCGTTCTGTTGGGGAAGCAGATGGAAACGTGTACACACATGATACACATGGATTTTATTTTGATTTGATTTGATTTATTTATTTAACAGGAAGATTATTAAAAATCAAGCCTGACTCAGCATAATTGCTGTTTTACAGCAGGTTCCTGTTCTGCAGCACATAAAACACTCAGAATTACAGCATCACAATCACATCATTATTATTACACCATAGACACAAAGACAAACAAGCATACCAAATTTCAAAAAGGCAGCATTTGCAAAATAAGACGTCTAAATCTAATTTTGAAATCAGAAGTTTCAGAATCCGACAGCGAGACAGTTWAAACATAGATACCAAAAGCCTTTATGTCGTTGTTTTCAGCTGTGTTTGGAGTTCATCTTTCACAGAATTAATGATTTTTTGCTGTGACTTCCACATTTATCACTGAATTTATCACGCGATCTGCTTCCTGCACGTATGTCGGAGCGGAGCGGAGATAATGTAAACTGGACTTGAAATGGTGCAGCTGCGACCTGCGTAGCGGAGACAAAACGCAAGTAATGTAAATCCGAGTGAGGGTGGCAAAAAATATTTATTAAAGAAAACAAATAACTGACGTGGCAGCAAACATGAACAAAGGCTTGGGCTTGGGCTTTGGCAAGAACATGAACACCAAAAACTAGAAAACTAGAATAAAATCAAAATAAAACATGAAACCAGACAGAACATAACAAATGCTCCATATTTTTATTTGTATTTTGACTGTAATTTTAACAATGTCCTGTTGTGTCTGTCTACTGTACAGCACTTTGATTGGCCTTGTGCTGTTTAAAGGGCTGTATAAATAAAAATGGTATGGTATGGTATGGTTAATAGAAGTTAATACTGTTTAGGGGGCCAAGGCGTGTAAAAGTTTGGGTCCGATCCGGAGTCCTTTCTTGCTTTCAGAATTTACAGCCTGTGTATTTTTATACCTCTCAGGTAGATGTGGTGAAGTCAGGGAGTATTTTAGAAATGTCTGAAAACATTTCAAGTCTTTGATGAAAATCCGGTGTTGATGTTGAGCCAAACGGCAGCACTTAAAGTCAAAATGTTAATTTCTCACTTTTTGTTTTGTTTTGGACTCTTCAACCAGGGAGGGATGTCATCGGCCTGGCAGAGACGGGTTCGGGGAAGACCGGTGCTTTCGCTCTGCCTGTCCTCCAGTCCCTGCTGGCTTCACCTCAGAGGCTCCACACACTCGTCCTGACCCCCACCAGAGAGCTGGCCTTTCAGATCTCTGAGCAGTTTGAGGCTCTGGGCTCCAGCATCGGGGTTAAATGTGGTRTGTGTCCATCAGCTGCTTTGTTGGAACTGTTAAAACTTTCTGTAGTTTTGTGTTTTTTTTTTTAAGTCATCTCATCTCTGTTGCAGCTGTCATCGTTGGTGGGATTGATATGATGGCCCAGTCCCTGGTGTTGGCCAAAAAGCCTCATGTCGTCATTGGTAAGAAAGAAATGTTAGCTCTTGTTTTCCACAGATGTCATAAACAAACAAGTGTTAATAGTTGCTTCCTGTTTGGGCTCAGAATATTTAAAATATCTGCCATTAAGATAACCTTACAGTTTATAGATATATGTTTCAGTGCTCTCTTATTTTG